TAGAATTTGCTTATCTGGCTATGTTGCTCGTCTGGTCTACCTGATAAGGGGACAGATATTAAAGGAATTCATGGATATTCTGCCTAGATCTTTATACAATACTTTGGGAGCTTCTGCAGAAAAGCAAGAAAGAATAATTGGCTACACTTAAGTTTTCCAAGATGTAAGAGAAATACAAACTTAACAACTTTATGCTTCAAAATTAGAAGTTTTATTGTACTGAATTAGGCAATATTGGTAAAAAAGAAAAGGTTAAAAATATCAATGACTTTCAGGCTGAAAAAAATAATACCACCATTCAGTCTAATTGAAAGTTACCCATACAGCATATTATGACCATGCATCACATCAGAAATCCCACAGAAAATTAAATATTTTTATTTAATAGTAAAAAAGTAAGTATCATAGGTATGAATAGAGACTTCACACTATTGGCTGTCTAAAATATTAGCACATTCAATAAGCTTTCCCCCCCCATAACTCAGAATGAAGGCTTTCCATACTGTAAGAGAAAAGTTATCAAAAAGATTAAAGTGAAGACTAAGAATTTGTATCTTGCATAAATCAAGAAGCTGACTTCATTTAAAAATTAGTTATTTGCTAGTATCAAATTAAATACTGTACAAATCTTTTTTTTTTTTTTTGCTCAGGTACATGATGGGAGTATTGAGACAGTGACTGAATAACATGAGATTTTATAAAACAAGGAAATTAAAAGTAATTAACATTCCTTGCAATCCTTTGAGGACAGGAAATCACGTGTTCATCTATCCTGCTGCAGTATAATGTTGGAGCTTCTGACATCACAACATAGCAAATTATTCTGATTTTGTCCTGTTTAAGTGGTGACTGCTTTATATCCAAAATACCTTTTCTTTGTCTGATCAAAAGGCATGGATTTGCAGATTTACTAGAAGCATAAACCTACTATCAATAATATCTGAATTAAATTAAATTAGATAACATTCAGGAGATATTAAGTGGGATTTATAAAGTCTTCCAAGATACCAGCTTGCTCCAAATGTTATGATTTATATAAATTAAAATAGTTTCTCTAATCAAAAGCATAAAACATGGTTGAAATTCTGACTGAGTTTACACAACAGACTAATCTAGACTGACAACATAAAATTCCAGGGGCAAACAATTTGTTTTTATAGTTGTGGCTGATATATTGTAAACTGCTTTGAGAATGTATTAACACAAAAACCATTACAAGACTACGCCATACAAATAATTCCTTCCGAGCAACAAAACAATTCCCAAATCTAACACTTCAAAAGGAAAATTGATCAGTCCAGAAACATAGTATGTATGATGCTATATTTCACACACATACAGAAAGATATAAATGGAGGAAGGGAGGGAGGGGGAAAGGGGGCTGTTCTAAATTCATTCCAGGAACAACCTAAAATGGAAGAAACTATTGCTATCTAGGAGCTCCTGTCTGCTCCTACCCTTGAAATGCTCAAGAATTAGAATTGTATAGAACTCTAGGACTTTCTAACTACAAAGGAGAACATGCCAGGAGGAGACAACAAAATATATTTAAAAAGGTGTGCATGTTATTCTTCTCTTTCACTACCTCTCAACAGTGCTTCTATTGTTCTTGCCCTAGGACGGTTCTAAAATGTGTGTGTGTGTGTGTGTGTGTGTGTGTGTGTGTGTGTGTGTGTGTGTGTGTGTTTAAGAGTTGCTTATCAATTGTCTGTAACAAATACAGTACAGTGTACCTATAATTTGGCAGATGATTTTATAGTGCTGATTTGATTAGCTCAGCTTATGGGACTTCAGAGGCCTATGCATTACTTCAAACTTGTTATGTAACTATTTTAAAAATAATTATGACAAGTATTGGTTTCACATTATTATACACTCCAAAGCATATTTTTGGAATTGAATACAAAACATGGCATAGCTATAATACTAAACTGTAAGAATATTGTCAAATGGCTAGTTTCAGAAGGCAGATTAACTGAAATGCAAACAAATAAACTTTTTTTTAAAAAAAATACTTTATAAAAGCAACAATAAAACATTTCCAACAATGTTAGGATTGGTTTGAATGGAGGATAAACAAAACACAACAGAAAGAGTCTGATGCAACTTTTGTGCTAGAACAGCCATTATCTAGAATAAACTCACAGCACTCCTAAAGGTCTGATCAAGGAAAATGCACCATTATTCAAATCACTTTAAAAATGTCAACTATACCTTATGCATACAGCCTTCTAGGTATTTACTTATATTTTAAACATTCAAATGTTTCTCAACCAAATGAAAAATCAATAGTCACATTCCACTAGAACTATTTTATCTGAAGAACCAAATACAGACTAAAATCTAACCATATTGAACAGATGTCTGCCCATGCAGAGGACTTTTCCCTTCCTTTATTTCCCAGATGTGCTCTGGATGATTTCCCAGCAGGGTTTGGATAGTAAATTGTTCCTGCACCTACTGATACAATACTAACTGGATGCAACTCACGAAGTTTACATCATGAGATATTCATAGAACCTTTAGGGGTCCTAAAATTACTAAATAATATTGAAGTAGAATTATAGGCCATAGTCTTTCCACCAACTATTGGTTCTTTTTTGTATTAAAATAAACATTGCCTGAGAATAGGAAAATACAAAGTTTTCCTGCAAAAGGTTTGCACAGTTTAGGCTAAATTCCAACTGTATTAACAATTGAATGCATTGAAAAGAGGCCTTTTCCTATACTTTAACTGGAACTTTTTTTGATCTTTTAGAGGCTACCTTCCTAAAATGTGTACTTGTTTTTTTTCTTAAGAAACTTGTAAATTTTTTAAAAAATAACAGCCCTTTTTAAAGCAATGGTTTCCCAGCTAAGATGCTGACTTAAGAAATATGAAATACAATCATAAGGGTGGAATAGATTAGGGGTACAAAACTGATTTGCCTGTTTAAGCAATAGAAAACAACACACAGAAAATTAGGGGAAAAATGATAGCAATTGGTAATTACATCAAATGGCAATCAGTTGCTGAAATTATTTTCAAGACTCCACAGGCAATAGATCTGAAACTTGTCAGACAAGAAAAGAAAATCATTAAAAAGTTCAAGACTTTAATCTGTTACCCTTTTATTGATGGATCGAAATCATTGGGTATGATTTTTACTGTTAACTTCAAGATACTCATTGCAACTCTTGTATGTTGATAGAGCTTAAATATTCTAAAGTTCTATCTAAATATATATTTAATATTATTAAAATAAATTACTTTTATAGTTGCTGACTAGGCTTTGATAAGAAAAACAGATACACACACACACACAATTTTAGGGAGATCCAATCTTCATACTAAAGCAAAGAAACTATATGTCAGGAAATATTCTCAGGATTATTCTCGCACTTCAACTAGAATTCTTGGGAAAATTTTAAGAAATATATATTTGAATAAAAAATTATAAAATAATAGCAACCTGTTACTGAGGGAAGTAAAAGAATTAAATTGTAAAAAAACTGAAAACTTAAGACTGAGAGATTCATGATGATAAATTCTGTTTTGATAGGAAAGCTACCAGAGCTTTTCTGCTTTTCAATGTATATGCTTTTATTTTTAAATCTTTGAAAAAATATTGAAGTGTAATCTATGGCCAAATTACTCTTCTTGACTGTTAACTGTGCCATGATGGGATATATTTAAAAAATGGACATTTATAGTTAACACATTAGGATATATCTGCTAGCACTAATTACAACTGCAGTCATTAGAAGAATTGAAGCATAGGCTTTGGAGTACTGGAATTACTGATGGATTTCTACCCCATCTTGATTATTATTTCAAAACAAATTCTAGTGCTTCCATCAAGTTAAGTGTGTTTTGATCTCGGGCTTAAAATAAAACATTACAAGAATGAAAAATCTAGCCACTAGAGGAGGGAGTGGGTGCAAGGAGCATCCATTTCTGGACTGCATAAGAACGCTTGGACCATTTCCCACTATACAGGCTTTTAAACCCCACAAGTCCAGCATCAGGCAAACTGGCTAATAGATTTTTGGAGAAGGACGAAAGAGAGAGCCAGGAGACAGAAACAATGCGGACAAGACAGAAAGGAGTGCAACTTCTCCCATTAAACTGAATGAAGCTCGCGTGGCCAAACTGTTCAATTCAGCAGCGCTCTGCAATAAACGAAGGAGTCGGAAGGGAAGGAGAAGAGGCGAAGCGCCAAGAGGCGCGTTCAGGGCATGAGCTGCCCCGTTTTCCAATCCGGCGATGAAGCCGCTCGCTCTGTTTAGTCTTTCCGAAGGCAGCCTCCGCTGAGTTTGCCACAAGCGCTTAGTAAAATGGAGGCGATTCAAGCTTCACTCCTGGAGTTTTTTTTTTTTTTTACCTTCTCCTCCTCCATCGCCGTGCAACTCATATTTTACGCAGTACAGAACCGAACATCTCTCCGGCCATTTGAAAGCTATTTAATGAATGTGTGCCAGCCCGGTGAACTTTTTTTTTTCTCCCCCAACGCAAAATGTATTGAGATTCCGATGTAGCACAGATGCGTGTATGGATGTCTTTATGCACCAGTATCATAAGCAAACCCGGGAAACCGATTAGATCTCTCCCTCCTCCAGAGTATCATCCCGTGCAGGTCTCTCCTTCTCAGGAGGCGACGGGACGAGCTTTCGCGCCAGGCTTCAGACGCAAGACACTCCCCTCCCTTTTCTCTGCGCGTCGACAGCCCACGGTTGGTCTTAACTCCAAACCCCGCGCTCTCTTCACTCGCTCCACGAGAGAACCGGCCCCGGAGAAGCGAACGGAAAAGTCGCGGGTAGGTCTCGCCCACCTAATGCTCGCGGTTCCCCGCCTCGGCGAACCTAGCCCGGTTCTTTCGGCACCAGCTCCGAACTTGGGGGCGAGTTGCGCGGGAAAAGAACAGAAAGGCTCCACCAGCGGGGGAAGAGATTGCCGAGTCCCGGCGCTTTGGAAAAAGAGAAACCGCCGTACGTCGAAACTACCTTCAAGCGAGACCTACCTTCCCAACGCCCCGTTCCGCAGCTCCGGACTCTTGCCTTCTATGGTTCCAAGGGAAACGACAAGACCAGCACGCGAGGGGCTCGCCCACAAAACAAACAGTAATTAATCAGTCAGACCCATGAGCCCAAGGCGGGAAAAAATAAAAACCTCTTTGCCGCCTTCTTCTTCCTCCTCCTCCTCCTCCTCTTCTTCAACGCTCCTCTAAGGCACTTTAGCGGGAGCGGCTTCTTACTGCTCTTTCCCTGCCAGCAGAGTGGGGCTACCCAGCTGTGAGCCAGCGGTGGGAAGAGGAGCGCCACGTGCCTGCGCGGAGCCAATGGAAAGAGGCAGCCGCGGAACCATCCTAGCTCTGCCCTTCCCTTCTTCTGCCGTCCCATGTGATCAACCTCGAGAGCTTAAGTTCAGGTTTGGGGACCGACCTGGAGGAGGAGGAGGAGGAGGAAGTGTGGGATGAGTTAGCAATACCCGCGGCAGTTGTTGCGGGTGATTGGTTCTCCTCGCGAGTGAGAAGGGCCCTTGGAACAAGAAAGGAGGTGGAAGAGGAGGTGAATGGAGGGGTGGGTTAAGAAACGGAGGGAAGAAGTGGAACAGGTCGTCCATGTATGTGATTTTCAGTGTGTGATCAAAGGTCTGGGAATTAAGAGAAGTTGCGGTCCGCCCCACCTGAGGAGCACTAGATTGTTTGTGAACGCCAAAATCTTTTGGCGTATTATCATATTCAAATTGTAGGAGTTTGCTGCAATTCTGGCTTTATGCCTCATTATGTATCTTTAATTTACTTAAAATATAGGGGTGCGTGAAGATTGGAGTTCTACTACTGCAAGCCTCCTTGAAGTACTACTACTTCCCTATCAAGTGCGTGTTGAAATGAGTAGGTGAGGAGAAGGCTCTTCAAAGAGTTGCAAATGGGGCAGCTCCTTACTCTGTCCACAAACCGGATTTGCAAGATTCTTCTCTGATGGGGGGAAGTTGGGCAATTTTAATTGTAGGTGAAAAGAAGGCATAAGAATAAAAAATACCTGACTTTTATACAGGTGTAGTTGTTGTTGAGCCCAACATTTTATGTTACTAAGTGAAACATTTGTTAAATCAATTTTGCTCCATTTTATGACTTTTCTTGCCACAGTTGTTAAGTGAAAAACTGCAGTTATTAAGTAACACAGTTGAGTGAACCTAGCTTCCCCATTGACTCTGCTTGTAAAAAGGTCGCAAAAGGTGATCACATAGCCCTGGGACACTGCAACTGTCATCAATACTAATCTGTTGCCAAGCAGCTGAATTTTGATCATGTCATAAGGATGCTTACAACGGTTGTGTGAAAAGCAGTCATAAATCACTTTTTTCAGTGCTGTTGTAACTTTGAATGGTCACTAAATGAATTATTATAAGTCGAGGACTACCTGTACATGTAAGTCACTCACTTTAAATAAAACCTAACACAATTTACACAATATAACTTAGTGTATGTTTCTGTTAACAATTAAGATTTCAAATTCTGCTTGGTACTGATAGCGACTGGTTGCTGTTCCAGGTTTGTGTAAAAAGTGTCAGGTTTCCAAGTGGACTTGACACAAAGCTTATGTAACCAACAATAGTAATATTAAAGGCAATTGGGCAGACTTGTTAATTGGGTGATCTTGTTAATCATTCACTACTTGGCATGTCACACAAACCTGCACAACATTAAGAGTTTTTCAGAAAACTCTGAAAATATTGTTTATTAATAGCAGAAATGCAGACCTGCTCAGTTCTCAAATACTTGATGCTTATTGTGGCTAAGTAGTTTTTCTATTCTCATGTATAGTCTGTGTATCTAGTTTTATTCATAAAAATATAGCTTGTGAAAAGTATTCTAGGCTTTGAGGTATGAAATAAATTATTAAATAATTGATTAACTGAAGAACAACATGTTTCACGTGAAGGTTATAAAATACAAAGATAAAATAAAATCTAGAAATAATTCAGAAAATCTTATAATGAATACAAATTATAAAGGAAGAAAGTTAAAACAACATTAAATGGTACTATTCTAAAATGGAGTAAAAATCCATTTGCAGAGGAAAATAAACCCCTGCAAGACAGGATAAAAGTGATATACATAGGTAAAATATGTCAAAACACTGGGAAAACTTAAAAAATTGCTTGCACATTAGAGCAATTCCAAATTCCAAGGAATACATTTATAGTTAGGATACCAAACCGAGTTAGCTAAAATCTGCCAGACTTTAGTTTCTGCAAATCTGTTTAGCTAGATTCTATACATGCAAGTATAGATATGTAGGGAAATATCCTTTTAAATATAATAGTCATCCAACTATAACAGTGTGATAACTCTTTATAGCTTTAGACTATGCTCCAGGGATTTCTCTCAAAAATTCTATATATATATATATATATCTATACTTCCAAACAAATATCCAGCCTTTATTGCCAAATAAGATGTTTATTGGTAGTTTGTTTTAGTTTCAGGGAATTTGTTATGCTGTTTGGTTAATTTTGCTTTGTATTATACATAGAAGCCATAGTACCAATTTTGATCTTGAAAAAGCTAAGTAAAGTTGGATTTAGTGAATACTTGAATGGGAGTTCATTAGGAAATTTTAGGATTGTAGGCTCAACTATTGTAATAACTTGAGGGGTGGAACTTATCAGAATAAAACAAAGGCAAAATGCTTTACAGATAGTCCTCAATGTATGACCACAATGGAACCCAACATTTCCCCTCAAAATGACGCTATAGAGCACTGCACACCAGAACAACTAGACACAACAGTTTTTTCCCGAAAGCCATCACTCTACTAAACAAATAATTCCCTCAACACTGTTCAACTATTTACAAAGTGTACACTATTATTACTGTTAATCTTCTCATCACTTCTTATCACCCATCCCCTCCCACTTGTGATTGTAGGACTGTAACATTGCTGCTTGTATCCTTACGATTTATATTGACTGTTTCCTAGTATGATTTGATTGTTGATTATACCCTACGACTATCATTAAGTGTTGTACGTTATGATTCTTGATTCTTAACGAATTTACCTTTTCTTTATGTATACTGAGAGTATTTACACCAAGACGAATTCCTTGTGTGTCCAATCACACTTGGCCAATAAAGTATTCTATTCTATTCTTTGCTAAGCAAGACAGTTTCCCCAGTTTACAACCCTTGTCGCCATAGTTCTGAAATGAATCACAGCAGTTAAGTTAGTGAAATGGTTAAGTCAGGGGTGTCAAACTCAATCGTGTCACATGTCAGATTGTGACATATCTGAAATTTTTGCCTTCATGAAGCGGGTTGGGCATGGCCTGCCTGGGCCCTATACGGCCCATGGGCTGCCAGTTTGATAGGCCTAGGTTAAGTAAATCTGGCTTCCCCATTGACTTGGCTTTTCAGAAGTTTGCAGAGGGTGACCCAAGAGCCCATCCACTATAAATACATGCAATCACTATAAATACATGCCAGTTGCCAAGTGTCTGAACTTTGATCACACCACCATGAGGATGCTGCAACAGTTGTAAGTGTGAAAAATGGTTCATGAGTTACTTTTTTCAGTGCTTTTGTATCTTTGAATGGTCACTAAATAAATGGTTCTAAGACTACCTGTATATGGTTAATTAAAATACAACCATGCTATGTTACAACTTAAGTCTGTAGACCTGCTTGGTGGAGAATTCTGGGAACTGAAGTCCACACACATCTTAAACATTTTCAAGTTTGAAGAACATTGCCATATAATTACTATGGATCAAGTTTAATTCCAGGTGTTACTAAGATATGAATATTTGGAAACCTTGTATAGTCCATTTATATTAGTGTCACTATATTATATACCAATAGTATTCTCTATAATCATTAAAAGGAACATTTTTGTTTTTAAGATAGCCGTATAGTGAAAATGTAGTAATTTGCAGATAAGAGCTAATAAGCTAAATAATATTTCTTAGAAAGAACATCCCAAACTGTGATTTAGATAGGAATTAAGATTATTGTTCATATATTGCCTACATGTTACATCTTAAAATGTAACTAATATTGAGTAATGCGAAAAAGAGGATTATTTCCAAGATTTTATAGAGATTTGACTTTACTAACTTATCATTTGTACAATTACAAAAATAGAATTATTGTACACACTGAAAAACTATAACTGTTTTGTTGTTTGCTTTTATTCAAAGGCATGGCATTTCGGTATTACAAGAGACTTTTCTTTTTTGCTAGATTTACTGTTATTTAGAATACAGGTAGTCATCAACTTATAACCATTTATTTAGTGACCATTCAAAGTTACAATAGCTCTGAAAAAAAATTGCAGTATCCTTATGGTCACGTGATCATAGCTTGGGTGCTTGGCAACTGGCATGTACTTATGACACTTGCATTGTCCCAGACTCATGTGATTACCATTTTTAACCTTCCCAGCCAGCTTTCAACAAGCAAAGTCAATGGGGGAAAACAGATTCATTTAATGAGCACATGATTCACTTAACTACAATGATTCATTTAACAACTGTGGCAAAAAACGTTGTAAAATGAGGCACAACTCACTTGACAGCTGCCTTGATTAGCAACAGAATTTGGGGCTCTATTGTCATAAGTGGAGAACTACCTGTAAGTGAGACAAAGCTATCTTAATATTATTTACTTGCTTGTTTTGAAATAGAATAGAATAGAATTCTTTATTGGCCAAGTATGATTGGACACACAAGGAATTTGTCTTGGTGCAAATGCTCAGTATACATAAAAGAAAAGATACATTTGTCAAGAGTCAAGAATCATAAGGTACAACACTTAGTAATAGTATAGCGTACAATAAGCAATCATCATACTAGGAAAAGGTCAATATAAATTCTAAGGATACAAGCGACAAACTTAAAGTCATACAGTCACAAGTGGGAGGGGGGTGGGTGATAAGGAGTGATGAGAAGATTAATAGTAGTAGTAGTGCAGATTTTGTAAATAGTTGAACAGTGTTGAGAGAATTATTTGTTTAGCAGAGTGATGGCTTTTGGGGAAAACTGTTATTGTGTCTAGTTGTTCTGATGTACAGTGCTCTAGCATCGTTTTGAGGGTAGGAGGTGAAACAGTTTATATCTGGGATATGACGG